ACACATGACCTTCAATCAAGACTGGAAGAAGACATAATTTAAGCAACTGTCTCCAACCTGGATGGAAGGACCTTTCCATCAGGTACTCTTAACTAGCTCATGCCCAGTGAAATTGACTCTCAGTTAACTTCCACTTCCAAAGGCCCCTAAGTTGGACTAGTCCATAGAGAGGCCTGCTGACCTCAAACTCACCTTAAAACAATGCTCAAACAGAGGAAACTCCACTACACTAGGATGAGAAGAAGATGACATCAGAAGTAGACAGCTTGCCCAAAATGCTAATCTGACTTTTATGATCATTTATTATGTTTTCTTGATTCCTTGTACCTATGCCTATCAATCACATGTTTTCTAACATGGACATGATTCTATGCTAGTTTAAAACTCAATCCAATTGTTGGGTTGTGACCAATTACCTGTGCCTATTACTTCTGGGTTACCTTGGTAGATTTCTCTTCTTTAGCGCTCTCATTGGATACCCCCTAGGAAATTTCTTTTAGATGAGTGTTTAGCCCGTTCTATCTATTCATAGTAATTCTAGATGGGATCCTCTCACCTAGCCAATTAAAAATACCTGCTCTGAGACTGGCCATACATTTAAGTTTTCTCTTAGGGTCATTTAAACTCAATCGGAGTGATGAGCTAAGTCTCAATAAAAAATTAACTTCTCATCTATTAAAAGGAAAACTCCTACAATTATGTGGAGGATCTACATGGTTAACACCAGGCTATGGTCATTTAAGTTTATAGGCTCCTCAATGTTGGGAATGGTTAAATCATACTAAAAATGATCAACCTGGTAATTATGGGCCAAGGCTGGATGCTTTATAAACTATGCCTATTATTACCCTTAGAGAGAGTGATTTGTATGGAACTCAGTGGATTTGTGGCATTAATTTATGGCCTTGACCTCTACAGGGATGATATGAAAGTGTAGCTTGAATTTAAGGTCATACATGTTAACAAATTACAGGTAACCCCAAGCAATCTACCATTGGTATGATCCCAATGGGTCAAAGATCTGTATTCTACTGGTATGACAATTTAGCAGCTCATATCTAAGCCTTGACAAGGCTGTGATCCGTGTGATCAGATTGGCTAGTTTTCTGTGATTATTTTCATCCCAATGAAAATTGGAATAGTTTTCATTTCAATCCCAAAGAAAGGCAATCCCAAAGAATGCTCAAACTACTGCATAGTTGCACTCATCTCACACGCTAGTAAAGTAATGCTCAAAATTCTCCAAGTGAGGCTTCAGCAATAAGTGAACCGTGAACTTCTAGATGTTCAAGCTGGTTTTAGAAAAGGCAAAGGAACCAGAGATCTTATTGCCAACATCCGCTGGATCATCAAAAAAGCAAGTGAGTTCCAGAAAAACATCTATTTCTGCTTTATTGACTATGCCAAAGCTTTTGACTGTGTGGATCACAATACACTGTGGAAAATTCTGAAAGAGATGGGAATACCAGACCACCTGACCTGCCTCTTGAGAAACCTATATGCAGGTCAGGAAGCAACCATTAGAACTGGGCATGGAACAACAGACTGGTTCCAAATAGGAAAAGGAGTACGTCAAGGCTGTATATTGTCACCCTGCTTATTTAACTTACATGCAGAGCACATCATGAGAAATGCTGGGCTGGATGAAGCACAAGCTGGAATCAAGATTGCTGGGAGAAATATCAATAACCTCAGATATGCAGATGACACCACTCTTATGGCAGAAAGTGAAGAGGAATTAAAAAGCCTCTTGGTGAAAGTGAAAGAGGAGAGTGAAAAAGTTGGCTTAAAGCTCAACATTCAGAAAACTAAGATAATGGCATCTGGTCCTATCACTTCATGGGAAATAGATGGGGAAACAGTGGAAACAGTGTCAGACTTTTTTTTTTTTTTGATGCAAAATCACTGCAGATGGTGATTGCAGCCATGAAATTAAAAGACGCCTACTCCTTGGAAGGAAAGTTATGGCCAACCTAGATAGCATATTAAAAAGTAGAGACATTACTTTGTCAACAAAGGTCTGTCTAGTCAAGGCTATGGTTTTTCCAGTGGTAATGTATGAATGTGAGAGTTGGACTGTGAAGAAAGCTGAGCACTGAAGAATTGACGCTTTTGAACTGTGGTGTTGAAGACTCTTGGGAGTCCCTTGGACTGCAAGGAGATCCAACCAGTCCATCCTAAAGGAGATCAGTCCTGAGTGTTCATTGGAAAGACTGATGCTGAAGCTGAAACTCCAATACTTTGGCCATCTCATGCGAAGAGTTGACTCATTGGAAAAGACCCTGATGCTGGGAGGGTTTGAGGGCAGGAGGAGAAGGGGCGACAGAGGATGAGATGGCTGGATGGCATCACTGACTCGATGGACATGAGTTTGAGTAAACTCCGGGAGTTGGTGATGGACAGGGAGGCCTGGTGTGCTGCGATTTATGAGGTTGCAAAGAGTTGGACATGACTGAGCAACTGAACTGAACTGAAGCCATGACAACTTTCATAAGCTTTAAATGATAGTAACCGGGCTATTAGCCTATTGAATTCTGAGGTCTCTATGATGAGAAAGGTAGTGCTACACAACTGCTAGACCCTTGACACCTTACAGTATCTCAGAGATATCTGTGCTATAACTGAAACTAAATGCTATATTTTTGTACCTGATAAATCTTTTAATGTAACACATTTGAACCACATGAAAAATCAGATTTCTGCTCTACGTGATCCATTCCCTAGTCTTGACGATCTTTTTTTTTTTTTTTTTTTTTTTTTTTTATCACAACCATAGTGTATCTTTTTTTTTTTTTAGTCTTGACGATCTTAAAAAAAAAAAAACTGGTGTGGGAGGCTCATGACTATTTACTTTTAATTCCACTAATGTTATTGATTATACCATTTGTATTTTGCTTTTTTCACAAGATTATTATCTCTTGTATTACCAAGTATATGACTGAGCCTTCAACAGAAATGATGACTAGACTTGAAGCAGTTGACCAAACGTACAGTTCGATATATGATCAATGATTGTAATAGTGTAACTCTAGGTATGAAAAGATGCAATAAGAGGGAATACTTTTTTGGACCATAACTAGAAGACAGGTGTCTAGAGATATTTGACAATTAAGACCTAGTCCAGTAACAGCACAGAGTGTCTTATCAACAAAAACCTTCTTCAGAACTGGGTATGAGCCTTCCCAGCAATATGACAAAATGGTTATGGAATGCCCCCCAAAATATGGTCGGATTTATGACCACAAGGGGACTGTGCCAACTATAAATTGACACTTACCAAGAGCATTGCCAATGACTGAACAAGGCATTTGCCATCTGCCTCTACAGAGATTGAACCTCATGCTGCCATAGCTGTTGATCTTCAACAACACCTGAGGGAGGGAGTTCAGGATGGAGTGAGGCACTCTGTGCTCCAGGGAATCTGGTGGGACAGGACTTTAGCTAGTTGGATGTTTTTAGGAACAGATTTTATGATCTCAATCCTTGCATCTCCTCATATCTAGAGAAGCACTAAATCCCTTCATGGTGACATCAGGCCCTCATGACTAACAAAAAAACCATTTGTAAATTGAGTGTTTCACGGTATTGAACTCCCCCTTCACCAAAACCTTATATATTGACTTTCCCCCACTGCCGCTTTGGAACAGTCTCTCAGAGCCATCTGAGATGCTGCCTCCCTGGCTGCAGTCCTCATTTTGCCCCAAATAAAACCTAACTCACAACTCTCAAGTTGTACATCTTTTTTTAGTCAACAGCAGGTACCTCTACCAAAAAAAAAAAAAAACTACCAAGAGCTGAGCATCCATTCTTCAACAAACGTTTACTGAGTTCTTACTATGTGCTGCTAACACTCAGACGTTGTGTGAATACGTTGTGAATACAATGAACAAGAAAAACGCTGCCCCGGCCTTCTGGAGCTTACATGGTTAACGGGGGAGCCAGTAAAAAGTATCTAAATTTCTGATTCTAGAGAGGAAATTAAAAGAGGTAGTGGAGGTGGGGTAGCGTCTCACATGGAGCTGTCAGGAAGCCTGACCACCTGGTACATACCAGCTGTTGGTCCTTTAATTTTCACTACAATCCTCAAAGGCTGAGAGCTGATCTCCCTTTTGACAAGGAAACTGACGTTGAGACGGATAAAAGTGGCAGTCAAGTCGCAAACTCCTAACCCCCCACCCCACCCCTGCTTCCTACCAGCCCCCGTTGAGCGGCCACTTGCCACCGTCGAACACTGGATGATGAAACTTGGGGCGAGGACTGCACCATCTCTCCGCCTATGTCCTTGCAGATGTTGGGGAAAGGGTTGTGTGGGGGAATGCGCGACGCGCTTCCAGGGAGAAGCACCAAATCGCTCTAAATTCGCAGAAAGCTGCGAGGAGAGACCCGGTTAGACCCTCTCCGGGATCCCCGACCCTTCAGCCAGACAAAGAGCCCGCCCAGCCCACGGCAGAGTCAGACCCTCGCTCCCGCCTCCAGCCCGGCCCCCAAATCAGGCCAGCGCGGCGTACTATGGGACTTGTAGTTCAAACAGTTCGCCACACCTGTTCTGAAAAACGACAAGGGAACTACAAGGCCCAGGAGCCAGCGGGCAGGCCCGGGCGGACTCGCGGGCTGTGGGTGTGTGAGCGCTGGGGGCCCGGTGCTGCGTGCCGGAGCTGGGATGCGGCTGCCGGCGCTTGAGCCGAGGAGCTGCTCTAGGCGAGCTTTCTAGCCGGACTCGACGAAGGGGTGACCAGGAGGCGACAGGCACGTTGCATGCATGCATTGGGCTCAGCCATTGCAAAACCCGGTTGTGCAGCGCTTTGGCTCTGCAGAGGCGAGGTGCAGGGTTCGAGTCGCCGGGGGATGGGCACCCGTCCCCGAAGCCAGGCTGGCACCACTCGCTGAAGGAGCCTTTGGCTGAGCTTGGGGGCGGGTGCCCGCGTGCCCGCCTTGGGCTGTGCGCGACCTGTTTGTTCTCTTTCCCTATTTGTCCCTAGGTTTCTCTCGGCGGCCGCGCGATGCAGCGGGCGGCGGCGCTGGTCCGGCGGGGCTGCTGCCCCCGGACCCTCGGCCCCTGGGGCCGTAGTCAGAGCAGCGCGGCCGCCGAGGCCTCGGCGGTGCTCAAAGTGCGGCCCGAGCGGAGCCGGCGCGAGCGCATCCTTACGCTCGAGTCCATGAACCCGCAGGTGAAGGCGGTGGAGTACGCGGTGCGGGGACCTATCGTGCTCAAGGCCGGTGAGATCGAGCTCGAGCTGCAGCGGGTGAGCGCGGGCGCCCGGGCCCGCGGGGGGCGGGAGGGCCCCGGGAGGCCAAGGGGCACTGGTGGGGGCGGGAGGGAGAGAGTAGCAGCTGTCGCCTCCTGGGGTCCAACCGCTGTATTTCCTCCAGCCGCGTGGCCAAGCTCCTTCATTCGGCCAATCTTGACTGAAACGGGAGAATGCCCTCCCCGCAACCCTTCCCTCACTAGTGCCCGGCACCTGGCACAAAGTAAGGCCCTCAGATATGGTTCACTTGTTGAATTGAATTCATCAATTATAATTGAGCTGCCCTTAGCGCCAGGCACTGCCTGCTATGTGGCTGTCCTACTTGCGTGGAACCAAGATCCACTGGGGGGTGAGGGTGAGGACACAGCAGGCAGGAAGAAAGAAGAATTTCAGAGATCACGTTAAGTACCAGAGGTACGATGAAGGCTCGGAAGAGACTTGGGTGTTCTCCCGAAGCTTTCTCTCTCTCTCGGAACTTCTGGGTCTTTCTTCCAGTAATGATTCCCTGACAAAAGTGGTACTGCACGATTCCTTCCCTTAGGTCCCCTTTGGGACCTTGACTGACAGCCCTGTTTTGTACTGAGGATACTGTCACCCACAGTGGGTAGCAGAGGCTTGGGCCTTTGGGGCCTTGGCAGGGTGACCCTGGGATTTTTTTTCCTCCTGGCGGCCGGCAGACTAGGATTTTGAGTTCACAGCTGTGTGTAAAGTGACCACACATCTTGTTGTGATTCCTGTCCCCCCTACAAGGAGGGTGGCTGGGGTGGGGGAAAGAAACTATCAAGAGTTCTAACCATGGTGGAATTCGGGAGGCAAAGTCCAGAAGGGTAATATAAAAAATGTATACATTCCTAAGATTTATAGGAGCAGATGAAGTAGTTACCCAGCTGTTTGCTCAAGGTAGCCCTAACCCAGAAGGGGGGAGGGTTCTTTGATCTCACTCTCATAGGCACCAGAACTGAATGTCCTGGTGGTGAGTTGGTCACTTAATGGTCCTTGAATCCTCGGGAAGAAGCCATGATGGGACCATGACTGTAACTTGGGCACTTTGGGGCGTTTGATGAGCTCACGCTTACTGAGACTTCACTGGGACACCCAGTTCTGCTGACTCAAAACAGTGAGTTGAACAAGTCAGAGTCCAGTGTCTCCCTTTGACTCCTTGCAAGGCTAAGTTTAAAGCTTGGTCCTCGAAAGCCTGGCTTGGTTGCTGTGCCTCCCTGTCCCAAAAGTGGACCACAGGCAGAAAAGAGATTTTTGCTGTTCTGCTCCTTGTTGATATCTGGCAGACTGGAGCTGGCCCTCCTCGAGACAACAGTCTCCCTGTTAAAGCTGAGATTAAATTGTTTCCGGTTGAGCACTTCACAACTGATTTCTCTGGTTCCAGAGCTGGTGGGGGTTCCAGGGATTATCTCTGCCTCTTGTTAAAGAGCATGGACTCCATGGAGTATGAGGATGGTTAGAAGAGAAGGGAGACAGTGTCTTTGCCTTCACAGAACTGATTGCCATGTTGTTCTCTGCGTCTGGACTTCTCTTCCTCCAATTCTTTAAGGCTTGGTGGTTATTATTATTATTATTATTATTATTTAGCAGGTAGAGAAAGTGTGAGAGCATTCTAGGTGGAAGGAGGGCTGGGAGCGAAAACAAGGTTGGGAAGTTCTGGGCAAATAAGGGAGGGGTTTGGTGCTGTTTGGAGAGCACTGACTGGCAGAGGAATGTGGTAAATGAATGCAGTGGAAATGAGGGACTGGAGGCTGGTGTGCTGGGCTTAGGACTTTATAGCTCTAAGTTTGGTGTGCAGTGGGGAACTAAGAAGGTGTTCCAACAGTGTATGGTTTCATCATTGAACTAGAGAAATTTCTTGGTCATTTGGGCTGGAAACACGCTGTGATGGCCCCACTGCCATGTCCTACCCCTGAATAACTTGAGACATTCTTTCTGTCCATCTACATTCTCCAGTTCAAATTCATCCCTTCTTGTTCTCTCCTCACTTCCTTGAGTCTCAGCTGCCTGACTCTTGCTGCTGGAGATAATAGCCCCAGCCAAGACAGCACAGCCTCGCTTAAATCTTTCATTCTTGAAAAACAGCCTCTCCATTTTGCTAGCTTAAGCAGGTCCTCTTCTGAGAAAGCCATGTTTTCTCAGGGTTTCTCATTCTTTTTTTCTTTTTTTTGGCTTAGCTTTGCACAGTTTCAGGTTTTTACTTCTGTTTTGAACTCAAATGATCGCAACTGGACTGATGTTATTTTAAAGGGCTCGATTTGGTTAGAGATGGGATATGTAGGGAGTTGAGTGACTTGGGGGTAAATCTCTTGTCCTCTTTGGGCTTTGGTTTCCCTAGTCTGTAAAAGAAGAGTAGTGGTCTGGTGGGCCCAGGGTTTCCCCACGCCCTGACTTCTGTGCCTCTTCGTCCATCTGAAGGCCTTATACTGCCTCATGGAATCACTTTACCAGGTGCTCTGTTAACAGTACCGGCTGTTTGGCTGGACCCGTGGCCCTGGTTTTTGACTGTGGGGTGGCATGCCAGACAAGTCCTGTCCTGTCCATCCTGCTTTGTGGCAGGAGTGGGGGAAATGCTCAGGAGAGCCTGAAGGAGGAGGGGCACTTGGCTAAGAGCGTGTGAAAGGGGCCATTCTCTGCCAGCCTGGTCTATGTGCTTTCAGGGAGGCCCTGTTTCTCCCCGACAGCAGCTCCAAGGGGGAGTACCTATCAGCTTTTCAGATCCTGGTGTTCCCTGGGAGCAGCACTTAAAAATAAACTCCCTGTAGTAGGAGTTTTGAAAAGATCTGTCAGTTCCTCCTCAACCTACTTCTTTTTCCCTCGTTTTATTGGAGGAGGGAAGGAGGTTGATATAAGTGGAGACAGGAATGGCTTTTGTTTGTAAAAAGTACACAGTGTCAGGGCAAAACACTCATGAAGGGAAACACTGACTATGTTAAAATCAATGAGTGCTGCACCTAGAAACAGATGAAAATGGAGAATGCTGGAGCACCTGCTGATAGTTAGCTAAGAACTAAGAATGGAAACTCTGGATGTGCAAGGCACAAGCAGTGAAATCTCATAGGCCATTTTCTTTAGAGCTTAGACGCTAGTTTAAAATAAGAGAAATTTGTAACACAGGCTTCCGTTTGGATGAACCCTCCACCCACCCACCCTGCCCAAGTCACCAGGGACCTGCATCCTTGCCTTTATGTGCTGTGGGCCTCATGTCGTTCAGAGCACCTTGGCCTCAATTATTCCTCTGTAAAGTAGGGCCAATTTATTTCCACTGAAGACTAGTTGGAGCTGTTTAGTGATGATGGTTTGAATAGCTAGAACCCTATCAGAATTCTGGCTGTCTGGGGAGAAATAACTGAACCAGAGACTTTCCTCTTTTAGGTCAAAAGGTTATGTGAGTTTATATGAATATAAGCAGTTTTTCTAAAATAACTTTATGAGAAAGCAAAGGCTAGTTTTGCTCTTTTTTTTTGGCTTGTGCTGCATGGTTTGCAGGATCTTAGTTCCCAATCAGGGACTGAACTCATGCCCTCAGCAGCGAATGCGTGGAGTCCCAACCACTGCACCACCAGGGAATTTCCCAATCAGAACTCTTAAGGGTCTTGTTTTCAAGCTAACGAGAGTTGCTTGGGGGAGAGGGGCCGAGGGTCCCTCTTTCCTGGCCTTCCTTCTGAGTCTCTGGGTCTAGGAATGCGCTCTATGGGGTTGGCGCTCTCCTGCCTGGAACTTAGGCTTGCTGCCTTGAATTATCCTGTTTGGAGCTCATTCACCTTTCATCCCTGCTCTGCCCTGCAAATCTCCGCTTCTACAGTTGACCCTCTCACAGACTCCCACAGTTCAGGAGCCTCTTGTCCAGCCTTCCCTTCTTTCATGGTTAGAAAATTCAGCCCCTGGAGTTCCCACCTCCTCTTAATCTCAGGCCTGTGTAGGTTTGGCTCAGTTTTGCTTCCAGGTTTGCTTATCACAATGGTTGGGGCCAGACCCTGTGCTGAGTCTGTTTCTTCTGCTATGCAGCACAGCTGTTTTTAGGGACCCTGGAGACTAGTCGGGTTTGTCTCTGAGACTTCCTTCTGGAGCTCTCTGGGGGGTCTTCATGCCTGCCCTAGTGCTGCTCACTGGTCCTGAATCAGCCAGCGCTCTGAAGGTGGTGGCCTCTCTGGTGGTACCCATTTCTGTCACAGAGCATGATTCATAAGTGTTCATGAATGAAACAGAGGTTCTCTGGGGAATAAACATCCTACCAAGCCTTCCCACTGGCATGTCACATGAAATGACAGGAGCCACCCCTACCTTGAGGAAAATGCCTGTGCCTGTTAGAATTGTCCATTGTTCTAATGCTGCACCTGTGAACTGGAAAGGACAGTGATAACAATGATAAAGAGTTATCGTTGTCCTTCCTTTATCCTACTTCCCAATAACACCCCCTGAAATATGCCGTCTCCAGAGCCTGGGGGCCTGCTCCCTGAGCCTTCCTGAATAGTGGGAAGGGAGCCCCCCTGCGATGGATCTCATCTCAGTGCCCCCCAGTGAGGCAGCTCTGGGCAGGTGAGTTAGACACGTGGGCTCTAGGATGCTAGGAATTGGAACTAAGAAGCTACGTGCTGACCTGGCAGGCTCCTGTGGGCAGGGCTGAGGTGAGGTCTCCACTGGGTGTGCTTGCCAGACATGGATGAGTCACTGTGGGCAGAAGTCTGCCCCTGGCTCCTTGGTATTTCCCAACCCACATAGAACTCAAGTGCGTAGATACAGGAGTCTCCTTTGTATAGTGACCCTTGGCTGGGCAGCCTGGTCCCCTGTCCATTCAGAGGAGGCAGTTTCCCACCCACTAGCTCATCCATCATAGCAAAGTATCTGGAGCCTGTGGGTACCCAGACCCAAGAAAGGAGATGCTCCATACTCCCAGGCTGCTTGTTGGCGTGCCCCGAGTTTATTGAGCAGTGCAGGGTGGTGGGGGGGGGCGCGGGGGGACACAGGAAAGGAACATCCAGGGATCTGTTCCAGGCATTATTTTCTCCCTCCATGGGGCTGGCCCAGGGCCCAGCTGTGTGCTGTATGTCCTGCCCTCAGGGACAGATTTACTCCCCACTGAAGAGTGGGCTGTGCCCACACCATGGAAATCACCTGAGTTCAGCTGGCCAGGCCTCGGGGGCCATGGCGATTGAGTGAGACTAGCAGAGGGTCCCACGCCAGGAGCCTAGGCCAGTGTGGGTGGGTGAGTCCTGTCCTTTGCACACAGTGGCCTGGGTTGCTCAGCCTGTGGGCTGAGCCCTGAGGCCACACGCCACACAGCCTGTCCCCAGGGTGTCTGCCTTCACCCCTGGCCCAGTCCTGGCCAGTAGGCGGTCTTATCCCCTTCCTTGCCCCCCACCCCCACCCCAAGATGTCTTTCCATATTGGCCAGCCCTGAAGAACTTGGTAAAAAGGGCAGAAGAGAATTCTACCCCCTCCACCCCAAACAGAACTTTTCGACTCATCAGGCCCGGTTTATGGAAGTCCAGGGCTGCCTCCAGGCTTCCCTGGTGCTCAGAGGGTAAAGAATCTGCCTGCAATGTGGGAGATGTGGGTTCAATCCCTGGATTGGGACGATCTCCTGGAGGAGGGCATGGCAACCCACTCCAGTATTCTTGCCTCGAGAATCCCCATGGACAGAGGAGCCTGGTAAGCTACAGTCCATAGGGTTGCAAAGGGTTGGACACGACTGAGCGACTAAGCACAGGGCTGTTTCTGGGGCGCCCTCAGCCCCCTGTGCCTCCTGGCTCCTAAGGCAGCCAGAGAATTTCCATATGGGAGGGGCTTAGGGCTGGCAAATGAGAGTCAAGAAAACTTGTTTGGCGGCTGCTTTCATTCCTTAAGCCCACTGGTCTTTACTTAAGGTGTATATTACTGAGTTTAAAAAAGTAAAGTTTTCTAAAGTTGCTTTTATTCACACATTGTGTGAAACGGAGAAGACAAGTATCAAAATCATAGAATTGTACCTTTAAAACTTGCATTTAGGATGCCTTTGGGAACAGGGCAGCTGGAGATGGGAAGGTGGCCATTCCGCACAGGCCACCCCTTGCCCCACCACCTTCTTCCCCCGCGGTGACCCTTGCAATCTTGCTCCTGGTCCAGCTTTGTAACATGATGATATTTGTATTCTGCCAAGTGCTTTCATACTGTTTGTCTCAGATAATCCTTTCAGCTGCTCTGGGAGGTTCTTGAACCTGCTGTTGATTCTCTCTTGTAGTGGCTAATTCTGGATTTATCAGGGAACTGGGTGGAGTTCCCACATTTCCAGATCCCCACAGTTTTCCATCTGAACCACATTTTCTCCTTTGCAGCAGCCAGGGTGTCCTGTAGTCACTGCTCAGTGATATTGTTGCTACGGTTTCCGAGTTCCTTCTCTCTCTGCCATCTCTGCTCTGTGCTAAACACATTGCTCAGTCAGTGGCCTCACTTTTGCTCTTCAACCAGACATTTTTATCCCTGATGCTTTTTTTTTTTCAATATGAAGCTCAGTCCACATTCTTCATTTTGCAAAGACAGAGTTGCAAGAGAACGGCCCCCGAGAGGTCCCTGCAGATCGGCGTCTTCTGGCAGGAAGGCCGGCTGCAGTGTCCCCTCAGTCACTTAGGGGTGGAGGTGGAGCTGGCAGCTGCGGGACCCTCTCCCTGATGCTTCCTGCAGCTGACCCCGTCCCTCCTTCCTACTACATTTGCCCCGGGGTCAGCGTGAACCTACAGCTGCCTCAGGGTTCCCTGGCAGCCCAGGGAAGTTCTTCTAGCCTTCCCAGAAAGTGGGTAACCTTTTGAAGCCTTAATTTCCCAATCTATAAAATGGGATTAACACAAGTCCTTCCTCATGGGGGTGGTTGTGAAGGTCAAATGGGACCAAGCATATCAAGCGCTTGGCACCTGGCAAGGCTCAAAATAGGGCTACTTACTAATATCCTGTTGACCATTGCTTGGCTTCTGAAATCTAGGGTCTGAGAATCCCTAAGTAACCACCTATTGCATTCTTTCTACTCAGGGTATCAAAAAACCATTCACTGAGGTCATCCGTGCCAACATCGGGGATGCCCAAGCCATGGGCCAGCAGCCAATCACCTTCCTCCGACAGGTGAGCTGGCCCTCAGGAACCGAGGCCACTGGGAGAGCAGGGAGCCAACCCGACAGCCAAGCCCATTAAATTACCTCTGCCTCCTTGCCTGTCCAGCCCCTCAAGACCCAGCAGGCCCTAGAATCCCACAGGGAGATGCCACTGAAGTAGAAACCCCCTCCAGTGCCTGACGTCCCCTCTGGTTCTCTCCAGCAGGCTCCTCTTCCTTCCAAGGCTGTCTAAAATCCCTAAGCCCATTTTGAGGTAACTGTAATATACAAGACTCCCAGGTGAATGGCCCTGGATGCTGAATTCGGACCCGGGTTGGTGAGGGCATCAGAGAGTAGAAGGGAGACATGAAGGCTGGGAGGTGGTGTGTGGGAGTCTAGATATGGTTTCCCAAGTGAGAATCCCCAGGTTTGAGTGTTGGCTCTGTTGCTGATCAGCTGGGTGGCTTTGGGCAAGTGGAAGTCTCCAGAGCACTGCCATAGAGGACTTCTGGGGGCCTCCGTGAGATGATGAACATGAAGGCCTTCGAGGCACATTTCCGTGTTTCAGTTTGAGTGCCAACTGCAAGGATGCTGCAGGGGACCAGCTTGTGAGATTGGTGGGCTTGTGGGAAAAGAAAAGGTGAGAGAGTGCCATAGCGTCTGCTAGATGGAGGCTGGAGACCAGCTGTGCGGAAAGCGTTTTCCTAGAGAAGAAATGGGGCCCATTCTGGAGCAAAAGGTGGTCTCTGTGTGGTTGAGGTTCGTAGGCTGAGGCAGGCAGGAAAGCTGAGTGCTGCACGCCCCCGGTCTTCCTTTCCTGCCGGTATTTCCTGCTGCAGGAGCTGGCACAGGAGCGGCAAACTTTGCCCCGCTCTCTGGATGGCAGGTGTTGGGGGCCCCAGGGCCTCAGCCTGCAGCCCCTCAGGGAATTCACACAGGGTGTAGGGGAGAAGAACTGGGGCTGGCGATGACCTCGGGAACGTCCACTGAATGGACTCCCGTGGCATTGCTGCTGACTCAGGAGTGTGCCGGCTGCCTATGGGTGTCAGAGGCCTCAAGCTGGGCCCATGATGAGGAAGTGGATCAGACCAGACAGAGTGGTTCTGCCCAGGAGGTGGAGGTGGGAGGAGATTAGAGCACCCTGCTTGTCCTGAAAGCTCGTTCTGGAAGCACGGAGCTTAGGAGAGGAGAGGCCCAAAGTGGCCTCGCTCTGCACCAGCTCTCCACACGTGCCTGGGGCTCTGGGTGTGAACAGGCTCCTGTTGCCTCAGCCTTTTCTGACTGGTGGGCACACTCCCAGATCCAGCCCTGTTGCTGGCCACAGCAGACCCAGCCTCTGCCACCTGGTGCTGGCTTCCCCCAGCCTTCATAATTCATAAGCGCCCCAGAGCAGGAGGGCAAGCCAGGTCACCGCCCATTGCACACATTTATTTGAGGCAAAGCCACGCTCCAAGAAGCCTGAGCCCGCCCGAAGCCCCCAGCTGGTGTCAGAGCTGTGAGCCCCAGCCCATCTCGTTGCTCCTGGCACTGCTCCTAAGCTTCCAGCTTAGACTTGCCTGCTGAGCAGGGGTTTACTGACACTTTTGCAAACATTTCCTTGCGTAATCCTCTTAATTTGTGAGGTTAGAGTGATTTTCTCTGTTACAGAGGTGAAAAAGCTGACTCGGTTTTCACTTCTGGCCAGGAAAGGGGGTGATGGTGTGGAGGGGTAGGGGTGGGGCTTGGGGGGCACTCAAGCTGTAAGGAGGGGGTCTCTGCAATCCTGTCAGCTGGGGTGTACCTGCCTGCTCAGTCCCAGCTTCCTGCTCTGGAACCCCGGGTTCTATGGCTTTGGCTATGTGAGCTGCTGGCCTTTATGGAGGAGGTGGGCCGAGTAGCAGCCTCGTTTTGTTCCCTGGCTCCTCTGGTGGCCCACCCTTGGCCCGAGCCCAGGTCATCAGGGACCCTGCCTCTCACCGTCTCCCTTCCGCTGCAGAGCGTCCACTGTCCTCCTCCCAACCTGTCCCCAGACCCTCCCCACAGGCGGGGGCCCTCGTGGAGAGTCCTGCGGGGACACTGTCCCTCAGAGGCATCCTTTGCGCCCCTCTGGGGTGGGAGGTGCGGGGAGCCCAGCCCATGCCACTCTTCCCCCAGGTGATGGCATTGTGCACCTACCCGAACCTGTTGGACAGCCCCAGCTTCCCAGAAGATGCAAAGAAACGAGCCCGGCGGATCCTACAGGCTTGCGGCGGGAACAGCCTGGGTGAGGCCCCGACTTGCCAGGTCCCGGCGGGCATGAGAAGAATGTGTGTTCTCAGCATGGGCCTGGCCCCGGCCCCTGATGGAGGGTTATGCGTTGAGCGAGTGTGTGAATGTGTGTGGGGTGGCCGACAGGCCGAGTCAAGGAAAAATACTCCCCTTGTCCGTGTTCTGTGAGCCTCCTGTTTGCCAAGCTGATGGGGTCAGTGCTGGCTCTTGGTGGATTGGGGGCACTTCAGGCGCGAGAGTCTGCATTTAGCTGGATTTGGGGTTTACAGGGGGAGCCAGCTGTAACGCTGAGCCCACTGCACCCTCAGAGCAGAAGGCTGAGCTTGAGCCGGGAGGCCAGAAGGAGCTACATTGCCCAGTTGGTCCGGCTTCTTACTCCGCTGTGGCCAGCCGTGGGGTGCCTGTGGCCCCCTTTGGTGGCTTCCTGGCTGTGAAGGTGGCCCCCCTTACCCACCACGTGTGTGGTGTGTTTCTGACACCGGGCCTGCGCTCCTTTGTGTCCGGAGCCCACACCCGGCCCCGGGGAGCTCTGAGCGGGGAGGCCCTGTGACGTGAAGGCGTCTTCTCTCCCCTCCCTGCTGAGGTGGATTTCCAGCCTCTGGGCCGCTGGCTCTTTGCTGTCATCTCATGTTCTCTTTCCTGTTTATTTGTGCCTCATTCCTCTGCCCGGCGGAATACATAGGGAAGGCAGCTCCCCTTGTCCAGAGGAGAAGTTGTTGTCCATAGGGCCTTTTAGGAAGCTTGCCTGAATGTTCCAGAACATGGGACAGGGATTCCTGTGGCTCGTTCAGCAGGCTATCAGCTGCCCTTGGCCTCTCGGTCACCCCCCCGCCTTTCCCCTCCCCCTTTCTGCTCTGTCCCTTTATGGACATCACTAGGCTTAACCTTCCTGGCTGTGATCACCCCACTAGCCCTCCGTCCAAGCCTGTGTCCTTCATGCTGTCCCTCTCAGGAAGGGGTCAGCTGCCCTTTGCTTCCCTGCCAGTCAGCCTGGGTGGGGTGTGGGCCAGCACCTTGTGAGGCAAGGCCTAAGCCACAGGCTGGCAGAGGGCAGCGCAGCAGCTCAGAAGCCGGGCCTCCAGGCTCTTTCCCTCTGCACCCTCTGCCCGGCCCAGAGGACAAAGGCGCTTCTCAAAGATCCGTGGCCGTGGGCCTGAGGCTCCAGGAAGCGCAACCCAGGGCTGGGGGGAGGGGGTTGCTGTCTGCGTGCAATGTCTGGGGAACTGGGAAGGGATCTTGTTCTAGGGACAGGCCTCATCAACAAGTTTTTTCTGTGTCAGCCAGGCAGGGCTCGGGGAATGATGTTGGGAGGCCATGTCCATGTGAGTCAGGACTGTCTGAGCTCTGTCTGAGGAGCTCAGCAGGATGGGTGAGGGAAGTGCTCTCTGAGCCTCTTTCCTCATCCTTGGACTAGGAGATACTTTGTACCCGCCTCCTGGCCTTGCAGGCAAGTTGCTGTTTGTGCTTCTCGTCAGGTGTGGAGAAGCCCCACCCTGGAGGTCACTACCTGCTCTGCGAGGAAGGGCAGTGTTCCAGCAGAGAGTCGAACAATGGGGGTGGCGCTCTGTCAACTAAGGCTTGGGCAGCCTGAGCACTGCCCACAAAAATGAAGGAAATGGAAGATACGCCCAGGGCCACCCTGACCCAGGAAAGGGTTATAAAGTGTGTGCCCAAGGGCTCACCTGGACGTGTTTTTATCATGCCCTTTAAAATTATTTTTTATTGGGGCTGCATTTATTTTTTGTGTGAGTAACCCAGGTCTCGGGTTGTTGCATCCTGAATCTTAAGCGGGGTTGAGGTGAAACCCAGATACACCTGGGGTGGTGGGAGATGGGAGAGAACGCCTGCCTCCGCCCCTCTGGGGGCCTGGGCTGTGGGCTCTAGGCCCTGAGGGACACTGGGGAGCGAGGCAGGTGGAGTTTCTGTGCTCATGAAGCTCACGGTCATATTTGGGAGAAACAAACATTAAAAAGAATTAACACAAAAACGTAATTCCCAGTTTTCATGAGTTCCTGGTGAACAATCCCTTTTAACAAGGGATTCTAATGGAGAGGGAGGGTTTAAGGAGAACGAGTAAGAGAATCTGCTAATGAATACCAGACAGAGAAAATGGTGTGTGCAAAGGCCCTGAGGTTTAAGAACTGAGTGTGACTGAGTGAAAGGGTTTGCATGCGATGACGCTGGGTGATTTGGCAGATGTCGCCGGTCTGTGGATTGTGGGAGGCAGGTTGCCATTGGTTTCAGGGCAGAATGTCCTACACAGGAGTGTGGTGGGGCGGGCCTAGCTACGGGTGGGTGCTGCAGAGATGCACAGAAGAAATAGGTGATGGTTCCTGCCCACAAGTCAACATGGGGAGGCAAGGATTCAACTGTGCAAAGTCACAGGAGAAGTCAGAAAGGCTGGGGTGAGGCCATTTCTCAGACTTCTTCGGAGAGCCTAGATCTGAGCTCTGAAGAATCAGGGTACTTCAGAACAAAACAGAAGATGGAAAGTCTGAGGCCAGCAGGAACAGAGAGTTTGCTAGTGGGGAAAGGCTTAGGAATTCAGGGAAGCAGATGAACTAGAGGCAGGAAGACGAGGAGGCTTAGCTGGTGTGGAAATGGCCAGGCCGCATGGAGTGGAGCAGAGGGCAGTGAAAGAAGGCAGAGGGAAATAGCACAGGAAGCTTTCTGGGCACGGGAGCCCAGGAAATATCAAGTAGGACATCCGGCGGAAGGAGGATTCTCTAACAGCGGCATCTGCAAGTGCCCTCGAGTCCCTGCCAAAGAACGTGACAGGACTCTGTACTCTCCACCCAGATTTGCTGTGTGTTAATGTTTGCCACCTGAACTTTTAAAGAAGTGGTGTAGCTTCCCCTGCCCCAGTTACAACTAGTCCCAGGGGATAGGCCAGCCCGGTGCTGCACAGACCCTTAAACCCAGCGCCTCCTGGTGGTGCTGTTGCAGTCCTTGGAAGGAAATTGGCTGGTTTTCTTTAAATGTGGTATAGAACTCAAATGGGATAAAAGAATATAAAGTGAAAGATCTGCCTCCCACTTCTGACCCCAAGCCTCCTGGTTCCCGTCCCCAGAGAATTCACCTCGCCAGTTTGAGTCTTCTTCCAGAGAAATTTTGTGCATGTGCAGGTACCTATTTTCAGTTTCTTTTAAAAAATGTAAGTAGTAGCCTAACATACTGAAAACACTTTCATGCCCACGGTAAATGCACAGATATTAATGTACAGCACCTGTGTGTGCGCACCTGTGTAACCCGTGCCCAGATCATGAGAATGAACTCTCGGCACCACAAAAGGCTCCTGTGTGCCCCTTTGCCGAAAATACTCCCAAGCCCAAAGTGGTCACCACTGTTTCTGAACTTCACTTTTAACTGGTGGTTTGGATTTGGCTCCTAACTGGCGGTCTGAGCATGCTGTTGCCATAGGGTGGGGGTAGGTGCGTCTTGCCCAGCAGCCCCCAAGAACCTGTGGTTAGTGCCTGTCAGGGCTCTGGATTCCTGGGATGGCAGATGGTGCCATTTTGGGGTGACCCTTCTCTCAAGTTCTTTGGAACCGTGTGTAGGCAACAGTGATAAAAGCATAGCAGTCCCAACTGTAATGGTCTGTACTGTCGTGGAAGGTATGTAAATCCCAGTAGGGTTGGTAAAGCAGGTATGAGCACCAGTTAACTGGTTAGAAGTCAGGGCCTGGAATAATGCTTGAGATATAAGTAGGTTCTCGGTAAATACTGAATGGATGAGTGGGTGGGTGGGTAGATGAACAGAAGGGCAGATGGGTGGGTGAGTAGGTGGGCAGGTGAGTGGATATATGGATGAATGGATGGATATGGATGGATAGCAGATGAGCGAATGGTTGGGTGAGTGGGCAGACACTTGGGTAGGTGGATGGATAACAGGATGAGTGGATAAAGCCCATATAGGTGGTTAAGCAGTTTGCCATAATTCCAGAACCTAGAGCAGTGGGAATAGGGCACCACTGAGACTCCTTGACCTCCCCCACCCTCCCACCTGCAGTTAATTATATGGATATCTCAGAATGTATGGAGCCAGATCTTCCTTCTAGTGATTGTCTTGCTTGCTGTCTTACAGGGTCTTACAGTGCTAGCCAGGGCGTCAACTGTATCCGTGAAGATGTAGCTGCCTACATCACCAGGAGAGATGGCGGTGTACCTGCAGACCCGGATAACATTTACCTGACCACTGGAGCTAGTGACGGCATTTCTGTACGTGTCAGAGCGGCTCGTTGTTGTTCACTGTTCACCCACATCAAGAACAGCCTTGCACGTTAGGGCCGATGCATGAGCCTGTTAAAGGGGGACAGGCCTGGGCAGAGAGGTTGGCCACCCTCTGCTCCCTGCTGTCTGCCCCAGCCTGGTAGCCTGTGGTCCTTACCACATTCAGTCTTTGTGAACCTGGACACTCCTGCAGCCTCAGTTTCCCTCCTCTAGCTGGGAGGAGTCACGGGGCACTCGAGGATGTCCATCTTTCTGGCATCATCAGCCTTTCTCTTACTCAGCACATACGGTGTCTCTCCTCTGCCAGGCACTATGCCAGGTGCTGGAGAGATCGTGGGGAACCAGACACATTTGGTCTCTGCTTAGACATCAGTACTGGATTGGACTAGCACTAACAGCACATAAATATATGTCAGATCGCGAGCTTTCAGTTTCTCTTCTGGATGAGGGCAAAGTGTTAACAGAAGGGAGCAGCAGGAACTCTGACCTGGGGCTAGTGAGGGCAGGAAGGTTTCTCCAAGGAAGGCTGAGCAGATAGAGATCTGGAGACTGCGTAGATGTGAACTCAGGGAGGCAGGAGAGGGACAGATTCAGGGCAGAAGGTCAACATATGCCAAGGCCTTAAGCTGGAAGGAGGCTGCATGTTTGGAAATGGAGCATTGCAAGGGCAAACACAATGGGGAGGGGCAGTTACCAGCAACCTGCTAGGAGGCAGGTGTGGCCTGAGTTCTGAAGTGTTGTCCTGAGAGCCGTGGGAACCACTGAAGGATCTGAAGCAGATGGAGGGTCATAATTAGATTTAGGTTCTTAAGCTTTAACTGTGGCAGAAGAGAGCATAATAGATGTGAGAGTGTTTAGGAGACAAGAGAAGAGGCGGCTTGGGCTGGGCATCAGCTCTGGATGAGGTGAAGAGGGGCTGGTATCAAGGGGTCCGTAGGAGAAGGGGCTGAACCTGGGTTCTCAGGTTCACCTGCAGCCTCTGTTCCCTTCCAGCACCCTCCCCCCCGCACCCAGTCAATGCTGGGGGCCGTCCGCTCACTTGTCCTCCCTACTCAGGGAGCTTGTCCTTTCGGACCTTTCTTTTAATAAGTTATGTTTGTCTGTGTCTCTTGACCTCCAAGGCTCTTGTTTTGGATGTTTATTAAATGATTTAATCCTTTGCTGAAGCCTCTCAGGTGCATTAAACTTCTTCTTGAGCCCGGGAGGAAACGGAGGCCCAGAGACCTTAGGTGGCCTGCGTGCTGTTAAGAGCCTCTCGAGGCATTGGAGATTCTAGTGTTGGACTCAGGCCCCCAGCCACAGCATCTTCCACTGTATTCTGCCGTCATGGCGCCTCTCTATTCTCAGAGAAGCCCAGGTATGGGTAAGGGTTACAGAGGCGGGTGTGGGGAAGTCTTTAAGATTTAGTGAAAAGAATCAGGCCATTACATTGGCATTGTTGTAGCAAGGAACTGAGCCTGAGAAAGGAGCTAAGTCTTCATCTAAGACTTAGAAGAGTAAAACTCACCCAGAAGAGTTTGGGCTTATTAATTCAGTGAATTATTGCCACCTCCTCTAATGCCCCACAGTACTCCCCAGGCCTGATTTCTCAGGAATCCTATGAACTTAGGGCCCATTCAATTTTGGAAACAGCCAGGTTGATACGCCACCTGGTGGCAGAAACTGGGTATTTTATCCCATTTTCACACACCTTTGTTCACTGGTCTTTCCAAGTCTTGGGCTCTGATAAGTTAGTGACCAGACAGATTCCGGGCTCCACCCCAGACATATGGAATGGGTTTCAGGGGTGAGGTCAGAATAATTCTGAGACAGGCCTAGTTGGTGGGCTACTTCTTTGAAAGATCTCTTTAAAAAATACAAGTATAAAGTCTTTAGGTACCATGCATTGTGCTAAAAACTTTAAAACATTTTGCCTATTTCTCATAGCAAACCTCATTTTACAGATGAGGAGAGGTAGACTCAGGGGAGTTCAGAAACCTACATGGGGCTGCGCTGGAGGCAGGCACTGGGTGACTGGTGAAAGGCGGGGTTTGGGGGTCTTCCGGCTTCTGCCGCTGTTCAGCCCCCGGGGGTGGGAAGTGGTAATAGCCATGTAAGACGTGACTTCTCTGTTGCAGACAATCCTGAAGATCCTGGTCTCCGGGGGTGGCAAGTCACGGACAGGCGTGATGATCCCCATCCCACAGTACCCCCTCTACTCAGCGGTCATCTCCGAACTCGATGCCATCCAGGTGAACTATTACCTGGATGAGGACAACTGCTGGGCTCTGAATGTGAACGAGCTCCGGCGGGCCCTGCAGCAGGCCAAAGAGCACTGTAACCCCAAGGTGCTGTGCATCATCAACCCCGGGAACCCCACAGGTCTGCTTTACTTCCTTGCCAGTTTCTTGGGGAGCGGGGTGGTTGGTATATTGGATGTCTGGACACTAAAGAGCTAAGAAATAATGAAGTCCTCTTTGCTCCCAGGTTCCAAATCCAACTCCAGATTTGCTAACATAATACCATAAAGTTGGCCACCAGCCACCTTAGGAGGTGAGCAAATACAGGCCTTTTCCTGGTCAGGGTTGTATTGTAATTAAGACCAGTTCTTTTTGCTGTTCTTCCTTGTACAAAGAACCTGCTCTTGGATGTCACACACAAACCATCACCATTAATTATAGGCCTAATTTTACCCTTACTCCTACTTGTTTTTCTGATCCAGTTTTTAGATTGCTGGTGTGTGCGTTTTTGTTTTTCTTTGACACAGCATTGCTGTGTACTTTTGAGGCCTGAAAAGGAAATGCCATATTAAAAACAAAAGCAAACAAACCAAAAAAACCTATTTCCAGGAGTTGGAAAGCACTCCTAATTTTGCATATTTTTCTTCACACAAAAAAAATGCACAGTTCTGCCTGTTTTGATCTTTCCAGGCTGCTGGCTTCATGTGCCCCAGATGCTATTTGGATGCTGAGAACAAGGGCTCCTCTCTCCTCCTTTGTTGAGTAAACTGGGTCAGGGCCAAAGCGTGGTGGAGCTGATTGTGGAATCTGCTCCTTGGGAACATCAAATGATGCTTCGATCAGCTGAAAGCTCCACTTGAATTCCTGGGTGCAGAAAATGGGTGCAGCTGCTCGCCTAGTTTATTTACACCGACTGCCTGGGGGAAGGGGTGAGGGACCTAACCAGGGTACTGTAGGAAAATGACAGAGCTGGGTTCTCAATCCTGGTTACACATTAGAATCAAAAAGTAAGCTTTTAAAAATGGCAAAGGCCAGGCCACACCCCAGAATCTCTGGGGATGGGGCTCAGGCATCAATATTCTGTGTAACTGAGGATGAGAAACACTGACCTAGGATAATGCTTCTAAAACTTCAGCTTGTTAAAAACAAAACTGCTGGGCCCTACGTCTAGATATTCTGATATAATTAGGCTGGAGTGGGACTTGACAATTTGCATTTCTAACAAGCTCCTGGGTGATGCTGATGCTACTGGCCCCAAACTTGGAGTAGTAGGTCCTATATCTTAGGAAATACTCTGTATACCTAGTTTATATCATAGGCTTGGTAACTTCTTGACCAGAAACTTACATAAATCTTCTCCTGGCTGTCTGGGGAGAAGTAACTGCACCAGACTTTCCTGTTTGGGGTCAAAGTGGGAGTCATGTGAGTATGATATTAATATGAGCAGTTTTTCAGTAGTCAGGTTCGAATGTGAGAGTTGGACCATAAAGAAGGTTGAGCACTAAAGAATTGGTGTTTTTGAACTGTGGTGATGGAGAAGACTCTTGAGAGTCCCTTGGACTGTAAGGAGATCAAATAAATCAATGCTAAAGGAAATCAACCCTTAATGTTCATTGGAAGCTGATGCTGAACCTCCAATACTCTGGCCACCTGGTGTGAAGAGCCGACTCATTGGAAAAGACCCTGACGCTGGGAAAGATCCAGGGCAGGAGGAGAAGGGGGCAACAGAGAATGAGAGAATGAGATGGTTGGATGGCATCACTGAATCAATGGACATGAGTTTGAGCAAACTCTGGGAGATAGTGAAGAACAGGGAAGCCTGGTGTGTTGCAGTCCATGGGATTGCAAGGAGTCGGACAAGACTAGCGACTGAACTACAAGAACAAGCAGTTTTTCTAAAAAATAAGTTACGAGCAGGCTCAGGCTGGTTTTGCTCTGTGAGGTTTTTTTTTTTAGTTTCTGGTTGTGATACGCAGCTGTAGGATCTTAGTTTTTTGACCATGGATTGAACTCGGACCCCAGCAGTGAAAGCATCAAGTCTTAACCATTGGACTACCAGGCAGTTCCCCTCTGGGGTCTTAATGCGTGAAAAGCAGTTGTTGGAAGATGGGGGATGGAAAATAAAGACCTGCCTGTGATGAGCGTGTATCTCGTCTGGACCACACACTGTGACCACTTTGTCTGAAAGGTGTCGAAATGGAGTGGAATATTAGTGGCTAACAGAGCTCTTTGGGATTCGAGACAGAAACTCACCTTGAGGCTTGAAGGGAATGGACCTGTGAAGTCCAGGGTAAGGCAGCACACTTGAATCAACATCGTTGTCATGGGAACCTCAGGCCATGACCCAGCTCTGCTCCGGGCTGGAATCCTCCTCAGGAAGCACCTGTCCTGGGAGTGGCCTTCCGAAGGTCCAGTCAGTGCCCAGCAGCTGAGCATCCTCCACGGGGAGCCTCACCCCTGGTTTCAACCGAAGCTCCAGGCCAGACTCTGTTGGACCACACTGGGACACCTGCCTGTGCCTGACCTAGTTAAATCACTGAGGCTGATTGTCTGGGTCTGTGTCCCTGTTGGAGTTTAAAGAGAGGGAGTTCCCCTAGGACAGCTGCATGCTGTTGCTCAGAGAAGGGCAGGATGCTGGGCAAGCAACAGGTATCCCCATTAGTGTGTGGGACATCCCCTTGGCCCGGCCTCTGGCAAGGGGCGCTTGGAAGCCCCCTCCCCAGTCTTTGGGGCCTACAGCAGAGCCTCCTCTCCTCTGCGGTCCACACGTGTCTCCCCATGCTGGGCCCAGTCATGCCCTGCCCTCTGGAGATTATGCAGCTCCTCCTGCTCCGCAGGCCTGTTCTGAGTGACTGCTTCATCCCAGGCACTCGAGAGAAATAAACTCTGTCCTTATCCCACAGTTTGCATCGATCCACGTGGGGGATTATTTGTGCACAGCAGGTCTCCTTTCCTCTCCTGAGCTGCAGGCTTCCTGAGGCCCAGCCCTTGTCCTCCCCCTGGCATTATGGAGAAGACTCTTGAGAGTCCCTAGGACTGCAAGGAGATCAAACCAGTCCATCCTAAAGGAAATCAGTCCTGATTATTCATTGGAAGGACTAATGCTGAAGCTGAAACTCCAATACTTTGGCCACCTGATGTGAAGAGCTGACTCCTTGGAAAAGACCCTGATGCTGGGAAAGATGGAAGGCAGGAGGAGAAGGGGATCACAGAGGATAAGATGGTTGGATGGCATCACCAACTTGATGGACATGAGTTTGAGCAAGCTGCGGGAGTTGGTGATGGACAGGGAAGCCTGCAGCACAAGTCCATGGAGTTGCAAAGAACCAGACATGACTGAGTGACTGAACTAAACTGGCATTATGTACCCCTGGTTTGATACTCTGGGTGCTCAAACCTTTGCTTGCATTCTAACAGGGTACACTTTGTGGCATCGCAGCCCTGGGAGGGAAGACCAGGAGCATGTGGTAGGCAGGGCAGGCTGCCAGGATGGACAGCCCCTGTCTGTCTATGGGAACAGCAGCTGGTTACTTGTAGCATCCAGAGTTGCTGCCCTTCCTAATTCCCAGAGCATAAGCTTGCTTCATAGGAAGCCTGCGTGGCCCTTGTTTGGCAGGAGACAGGTTGGTCCCTTAGTAAAGGAACTGGTTTGTTGCTTAGATAGATTTAAGTCTGAAATCCTGGCTGAATCATACCATACTCATAAGATACATCAATATATTTTTCTAAGACTTAGTCTTGTTATTCTTACATGGACAAGAATATGGTTATTTTTATTTTTAACAAAAAGGTAATATACTCTCCATACTGCTTTGCATCAAGATGTAGATACGTATGTCAGTAATACATGTGCACATACATACACATGTAGATATATACATATGTAACACCCATAGGTGCACATTTGTGTCTTTAGTGAGCATCAGCAAGCCGGCCTAGTACTTTTCCAGAAGCTGTGTGAGCGAGTCCAGCATCCCAGGACCACATCGTGGGCCTCGCGAAATCTGGGAAAACGTTTCTTTCTACCTTGTGGCATTTGTTCCTTTCCCCACTGAAACCCGCAGTATTTCCTGTGAGCTGATGGGTGAATATTTTGCTGCCGGCACTCATTTCTCTAAGGTGAATGAAGTGTTGCGTCCAGCCCTGAAGGGAGACCCTGGCAGGGACACCGTGGGTGCCTGCCAGCATCCTCAGCAGGCCCGGCTCCCACATGGTCACTGGAGAAGCCAGAGCTGGTAGGCAGGCTCATTCATTCATTTAGAACCTCTTCCACTATGCTTACCAGTGAGGGCCCTGCTGGGTGCCGGCTTTGAGTTGCTGGGCCAGAGACCTTGTCCCTGAGCATGTGTGGGGAGAACGTGAGGTCAGTGCACGTTTCATGGTGTGGCTGCTGTGGGCAAAGGAGGGGAGAAGGCCTGAATGATTTAACTCCTTCAGTTTTATTTTCCTGCTGTTTATGATACGTCCATGTCTTCTTGTCCTCTGGCACAGAATAATACACATATATCCTCCTCCCGCCCCCCCCCACACACCTCTGAGAAGAATAACAAGAAAGTTGGGTGTGAAACACCACTCCCTCCACATACCTGGCTTAAGTGAGTCAGAGGGATGGAGCTGACCCTAGGGGCTCCCTGGAGGTTCACAGCAGCTAGGGAGGGTGGTCCTGTAAGATCATGAAGGAACATAGACATCTGAGTGATTCTGGTTGGAATTCTCACCTAGGGACAATTGAAACACCACGACTACCTACCTTCTGCTTTTGTTTGGGACTTTTTAGGTCAGGTGCAGAGCAGAAAGTGCATAGAAGATGTGATTCACTTTGCCTGGGAGGAGAAGCTCTTTCTCCTGGCCGATGAGGTAAGAGCAGCCTGGGCTGTCAGAGGGGAGGGTATGCTTTCTCTTCTGGGGGAGGGAGCCAGGTCTGTTGTTCTGTAGACAAGAGAACTTTCTAGATGTTGGAGGAGAGATTCTAACAAGGTTGAGGATGTTCAGTGTTAAGCAACCTGTGAGCCTGTGACCGAAATCATCCCATATTAGTTTGGAATCTTGGTTATAAGTTTCAAAAATCTAACCCAAACTACTTTAAACTTAACACAATGGTGGGGTCTCAGGAGTGGGGCTGGATTCAGGGACTCAAATCATATCTTCCAGCTCCTCTTGTTCTATCCTGCTGCCTTGCCCTCAAACACAGGCCTGCTATCTTCCCAGTCTAGAAAGAGAGCTTATCTTCCTGGTCGTTTCAACAAAGCTCAGAATTAAGCTTCACTGGTGCAGTTTAGGTCAAATACCCATCACTGAACCGATTATTCTGGCCCAGTGGTTGCAATATGCAGACTGACTAGGCCCTAGTCAAGGATCGGGAGCTCTCTCCTATGCCCCCAAACCTGCAGATAGAGAGCTGGGGAGGATGTTCCTTGAAGCAAATCAAGGGCCCCTTTCTCAAGAAGGGAGAGTGGGTGCTGAGTGGGCTGAATGCAGTGTCCTGTGAGGAGGGGAATCTTATCAACCCCAGAATCGCTGCTTCCTAAACCCTAGATCTGGAGACAAACCTGCCTATTCTTTTCCTGCTTAGCAAGAAAAAATTAAAGACCTGTCTAATCCTATTTTCACTTCTTCATTTCTGCATGATTTCTGGTTAGTTATAGCTTCTAGCACATGTGCTTCCTTCCTTTGCTCCTTAGCACCACCCCCACCTCCACACACAGAGGTTATCCACCAAATCACTGCTGTGATTAATAGCAGATAGACGGAAATCTTCATTTCTAAAGGAAAGAAGGGGCAGTAGAATGACCTGGTGCATGAACCTCTTCCCTCAAGGTTGGGGAAGCAAGGGGGGGTTGGTGAGGGGGAGAGGGAGAGGCCATGGAGGAGCTGGGGAGGGGAGGAGGCTCTGCCTGGCTTGTTGAAGGTGGAGCTGGCCTGACCCTCCTGCTGACCCACAGCGCCTCGGAGAGCCTCGGTTTCCCTGGTCTCCAAACTGGGCATGGGAAGTTCATCTCCAAGGGCAGATGGAGCGCTTGCCTGCTAGACTGTATAGACGGAGAGGGACAAGGGGTGTAGGCGCTGCTCAGTCCAGGGAGGAGAGAATGACAGTGACGGTGGATGGAAAGCTGGGTGAGTGCCGCGAAGCGCTGAGGAGCACGGTTAGCTCTTCATATGGGGATGTCAGAGGACAGGTCCGTGAACTGCTTTCACCACTCATCTTATTGACGGGGTGAGCATCACGCTCTGGGATGAAAGCCTGCTCGGGCCGGCAGGGTAACATGATGTCACTGGCACGTGAGGCAGAAAGGAGATCTGGAGACTGGGTGGGGCTCATGTGGGAGAATCCAGTGGGCATGCAGCCCATGGCCTCCCCCCCGCGGCCTTGCTTGTTCTGGAAGGTTCCCTTGGGCACATCTGGCTTAGAGGTGACATCTCAGGCCAGCTTCATGGCAGGCAGCCCTGGCTGCAGGTTGTCCCAGAGCCCCTGCACCCTCGCTTGGCCACAGCCAGGTGGCTCAGCTTCTGGGGCACTTGGCTGACTGTCCCTGTCCTGTCCCCTCCTGCAGGTATACCAGGACAACGTGTACTCCCCGGACTGCAAATTCCACTCCTTTAAGAAGGTGCTTTATGAGATGGGGCCTGAGTACTCCAGCAACGTGGAGCTCGCTTCCTTCCATTCCACCTCCAAGGGCTACATGGGCGAGTATGTGGGCCCCGCCTCCCTCTCGCTGCTCCTGGGCCTGCCTGCTCCCACTGCTTCTCCACCCTGGCGGGAAGTGGTACTCTCGTCTACAGCCTCTGCTGATCTAAGAAGCAGAGGTGACAGGCCATGTCTCCCCAAGGGGAGTGCATCAGTGTGAGGGCATCTCCTGTGCAAGGGCTCATGTGAAATAAGGCTGTGATGCAAATGAATACAGGACCTACAGCAGCTTCCAACCCTAGTGTTTTCTGCCAGCCTTGTCGCTATTACTCTGACACTCAACTGAAATCTGAGGGCCAGGGATGGCAGGTTGAGTGGACAAGTGCTGTCAGGCCAGTGGCCAAGCTCTGTATGCAGGAGTTCTGTATGCACCCTGCCTGAGCACCCCGTGACCTGTGGGGCCAGAGCATCAGCTTCAACCCTGTATTCGTTCATTCAGCCAATATTTATTGAGCACCTGCTATGAGTTCAGAAGCTCAGCAGTGAGGTTACAGCAGTGAGCAAATCACAGCCATTCTGCCCTCACAGAGTCATCTGTAGTGAGGTCAGAGGCAATAGACAAATGAACATGATGTGTCAAGTGGACAGAAATAATCAGAGAAGAGGTAGGAATGCAGAGAGGCAGCGTCTGGTCACTAAAGAGTTGGACCCAGGGAGGGGAGGTGGGGAGCTATGCAGACGTCTAAGGAAACAGCTTCTGCAAAGGCCCTGAGGTGGAAGGAGCAGCTCGAGGAGCAGCAAGGAGACTAGAAAAGAGTGAGAGGGAAAGTGGCAGCAGTTGAGACCAAAAAGTCACAGGAGGCCAGATCACCTGGGTGATCTTAGGTTATCTTTTACTCAGAATGAGATGGGAGCCCTTAGAGGGTTTGCACAGAGGTATGACTTCTCCTGGTTGCTGTATGATGGGGGCAGGAAGGGAAGCAAGCACTCAAGTCAGGAGGCTGTCACAGTCCAGGGGAGATACTAGGGGCCAGGGTAAAGATGGGGAGAAGATGTTGGACCCTGGGTATGTTTGAAGGTGAAGTTGACGGGTGTTGCTTGATGAAAAGGAGGGTGTGAGAGAAAAGTCAAGGATGACTCCCAAGTTTTTTGTTCACACAACAGGAAGCATAGAGTTGTCCTCAATAGATGAGGATGTCTGTGGGTGAAGCAGGTTTGGGGAGGGATTTGGACGTTGGTTTTAGATGTGTAAAATTTGCAGATGCCTGTTGGATGTCCAGATGGAGATGGCTATGTGAGTCTGTAGCTCAGGGCTGATATCCAGCTGGAGATTCAAGTTTGCGAGGTGTCAGTATTTGAGTTGTTAGTTAGATCTCCGAGCCTAGACATCTCACTGGGAGGAGTATAGATAGAGAAGAGGTCCAGGGACTGGGCCCGGCTGTCACTGCTTTTAAAAGTCAGGGGAGGAGAGGAGGAACCTGCAAACTAGACTGAGATGGATAGGCCCATGCATTTATAGCCAAGGACACTCATTCCCCAGCATTGTGGGAGTTCTACTATGTGCCAGGTGTCAGGGTAGGGGAGAGGGTCTGGAGGCCAGTGTAACTATGAAGCTTCAAAAAATATATTGACCAGGTCAGGCGAGCTTCCCAGGTGGCACTAGTGGTAAAGAACCCGCCTGCCAGTGCAGGAGATGTAAGAGACACAAGTTCAATCCCTGGGTCAGGAGGGTCCCCAGGAGGAGGAAATGGCAACCCACTCCAGCATTCTTGCCTGCAGAATCCCATGGATGGAGGAACGAGCCTGCTGGGCTACAGTCCATAGGGTTGCAAAGAGTCAGACACCGACTGAAGTGACTTAGCACACTCACACACGCAGGGGAGCTGTCCCCTTGGGATGGTGGCCCAGCTGTTCTTGGCTGTTTTGTTGCAGGCAGGAGTTGATTTATGCTGTCCTTTCTGGTTTACCCTGGTAGTTGTGGTGCCTCCTTGCTAAACTTTCATGTGTTGTATACCGCTTTTCTTAAACAAATATGTTCTCTAGTAACTCATTTTTCAAACTCAAGTGTGTTTATTACATACCTACCCATCTCTCCCTCTGTGTTATGAATTGCCCTGGATATTGGTAACCTAAGTTGGTATCCTCTTGCCCATAGATCCTGATTACTTAGGATTAGACTGATTTACCCAATTTGATTTTCTGCTCATCAGCAGAGAGTAAAGCAGAAAGATTCTTCTTTCAACTTTTGTTACGGAAAACCTTTCCAAGAGGCCAGAATTTATCTTCCTGCCTTGGAAAGGCCAGTTGATGGATCAGATGGGGATCTGTCTTTGCCGGTTCATTCTACAGCCTGATCCCAAAAGTGTGTTATTGAGTTCTCATCATATCAGATGGTCTGAGGTTGGGTGGGTGTGGTGCAAATATACAGAGGAAGGTAGGAGCTGATGCCATCATTTCTGTGGTCATTAGTCTGAATGTTATCAGTCACAGTCCAGAGAAGGAAGCATAGCTACAGAAAGTGTGGCTAATGGAGCTGATTTGGTTCTGAAAGGTTTTTTGGTTTTTTTTTTTTTTAATGATTTCAGCTTATTTTCATGAGATTTGACTCTGTATCAGTCAGGATCCTTTTGGCAATAAGTAACAGAAACTCAACATGAAAGAGGGTTTAAAAAAAACACATATAAAGTGAAGTCAGTCAGAAAGAGTAAAAACAGACACTGTATACTAACACATGTATAGGGAATCTAGAAAGATGGTACTGATGAACCTTTTTGCAGAGCAGCAATGGAGACAGAGACATTGAGAACAGATTTATGGACACAGCTCAGGGTCGGGGGAGAAAGGAGAGGTGGGCTGCATGGAGACAGTAACGTGGAAACACACATTACCATGTGCAAGTAGATAGGCAATGGGCATTTGCTGTGTAACTCAAGGGGCTCGAGCCGGGGCTCGCTGACAACCTAGAGGGGTGGTATTGGGGTGGAGGAGGGAGAGGTGTTCACGTGAAAGGGGACATGGGCAGACCTATGGCTGATTCACGCTGATGTTTGGTAGAAACCAACACAATACTATAAAGCAATTATCCTTCAATTAAAAATAAATAAATTTTTAAAAAACCCATATCAGTGAAAAGTCAAGGAGTAAACTGGAATCAGGGGGCTTAAAAATGTCAGTGGGTCTCTTTCTCTACTCCTGGCTTTCTCCTGTTTTCTTTCCCAGCTCTGCTTTCCTACCCCCTCCCCTTTTTTTCTCTTCTTTCTTTCTTTATCCTTTTTTTTTTTTGACCATACCATGCAGCTTATGGGATCTTGTTCCCTGACCAGGAATTGAATGAGGGCCCTTGGCAGTCAAAGCGCAGAGTCCTAACCACTGAATTGCCAGGGAATTCCCTGCTCTGCTTTCCTTTGGGTTGGCTTTGTTTTCAGGCATCAGAAAGTTGCAGCAAAATCCTCAGGTTGCTGCTCACATGCCCACTTTTTGAACCTATGCAAGGGGTGCCTGGCCTTAATCACATGCCCCTTTGGAGCAGAGCTGGTATAATACTAGTTAGGGGTCAGGCTAAGCTGCTATAACCAAAAGGCCCCAAAGTACAGTGGCTCACTGTAGAAGACTTACAGACCCAAAGTATAATGGCTCACTACAAAAAACTAGGAATAAAACCATCATATGACCCAGCAATCCCACTCCTAGGCATATACCCTGAGGAAACCAAAATGGAAAAAGACACATGTACCCCAGTGTTCATTGCAGCACGGTTTACAATAGCTAGAACATGGAAGCAGCCTAGATGTCCATCAACCGATGAATGGATAAAGAAGCTGTAGTACATACGTATAAAATTAGTCAGCCATAAAAAGGAATGCATTTGAGTCAGTTCTAATGAGGTGAGCAAACCTAGAGCCTATCATACTGAGCAAAGTAAGTCAGAAAGAGAAATGTGAATATCGCATACTGATGCATATATATTGAATCCAGAAAGACGGTACTGATGAATTTATTTTCAGGGTGGCTGTGGAGAAACAGACACTGAGAACTGTCCTATGGACACAGGGAGGGGATGAGAGAGGGCGAGCATATGGAGAGAGTAACTTGGAAACTTACATTACCATATGTAAAATAGAGAGCCAGTGGGAAATTGCTGTCTGACTCAAACAGGGGCTCTGTGACAATCCAGAAGGGTGGGATGTGGAGGGATATGGGAGGGAGGTTCAGGTGGGAGGGGTCATGGGTGTACCTATGTTTGACAGAAAACAACAAAATTCTGTAAAGCAATTATTGTTCAATTAAAAAACAAAGTGGCAAAAACAAGAAAATGACAGGAAAAAAAACAAAACTACAGTGGCTCAAACAAGGTGGAAGTGTGTCTCTGTGATAACAATTCAGAGGCAGGGGGAGTCCAGGACTGGCTCTGCCCCACGAGGTCATTCAAAGATAGGCTGCTGGGCTGGCTCTGTCTTCTCAACATGCGGCATCATCTCTAGCACTGAGGCTGCTTGCTCTGGTGTCTGCCTTTCTTAGGAAGTGGGAGAGAGGAAGGAGAGAGCATGCTTTTAAGGAAGTGATGTGGGATTTGCACCTATCACTTCTATTCACTTTCCATTGGCAAGAACTTGGCCATACCTGGCAGCTCAGTGTTGAACATGGGGCTGGTGACAGGAGATTCTGGCCAGCTGGGTGCACTTAATAGAGGTCTCTCTGTGACTGGTGGGTCCTCTCTCCTGCTTCAACATTCTAGGTGTGGCTACAGAGGAGGCTACATGGAGGTGATCAACCTGCACCCTGAAATCAAGGGCCAGCTGGTGAAGCTGCTCTCGGTGCGTCTGTGCCCGCCAGTGTCTGGGCAGGCTGCCATGGACATCGTTGTGAACCCCCCGGTGCCAGGAGAGGAATCCTTCGAGCAGTTCAGCAGGGTGAGTCAGCTGCGTCCCGTGGCCTGTCTGCATCACTACTGTGGCCAGCATTCACCATGTATGGTCTCCATGGCCAGCCTCTCTCCAGATGACCTCCAGGGCACACTTGTGGTTCCACACGGTGCCTGACCCACCCCAGTAAAGTTAAGTCTCCGGATGTAGCTGGGCTGTATTTGAAGTGGGAGGACTGTTCACAGTGTGGATGTGGGTACCTCTTCTTCTTCCTCACCTGTGAGCACCGCAGATGGGCAGGTGCTCAGAGGGAATGGCCTTGTGTCCTGAGAACATGGGGGGCCGAGAGCGGGGTGATGATTCTGTTACTAACGTAAAGGGGGGAAATGGATGAGCATGCCATTGATTCTAGACCACAGACCTGCCTGTGGCTTAACCAGATGTCCTTGCAGCTTGAAGTGATAAGTTTAAACAAAAATGGCACTTATTGAAGAAGTCAGCTCCCAGCTGTTTTAGATTCACAATCTTTCTTTTTAAATTGTGGTAAATTACACAGAACATTAAATTTGCCACTTTGATCTTTTTTGACTGAACAGTTTAGTGAATAAAGTACATTCACGTTGTGCAGCCATTACCAGCATCCATCTCCAGAACCTTTTCCCAAACTGAAACTGTACCCATTAAACAATAACTCCTCATTTCCCCCTTCCCCAGCCCCTGGTAACCTCTAATCTACTTTCTTTCTCTGTGAATATGACCACTCTAGGTACCTCATATATAGATAGCATTTGTCTTGTGGCTGGTTTATTTCAGTTGGCACTATGTCTTCAAGGTTTGTCCCTGTCATGGCATGTGTCAGAATGTGCTTCCTTTTGAAGGCAGGGTAACGTTCCACTGTGTGTATGTGCTGTGTTCTGCTTATTCATTCATCCACAGGGCACACCGCTTCACCTCCCAGTCCAGCAGAACTTGCACAAGTGTTGGGCTGCCTGCTCCAGCTTTGGACACGTGTCAAGCTCTCAGCCTGTCACTGATGTGCTTTGCCTGGGTTGTGTACCCCAACACATCACGTGGACTGGGGAAAGGGTAGCTCCCCAGAATCAAATGGTGGGGCTGTCTTCTAGAAGCATGTTCTAGGATGTTCCGTCCAGGGCCAAGTTCGTTCAGGCTGATGGGGAGGGACTGGTTTTTCTTGTTTTCAGGAATGACATCTTGGAACGAGAATAGAACCCATGACACAAGCTACTTGGGACCTACTTGTGACTCATGTGTCCCTGCCCAGGGCCTGTGGCAACCTCCTGGGCTGAGTGTCCATGGAGGACATTCTGCAGAGGGACACGTGTCTTGCCCACCTCCCTGGTTTGCTGCTGAAGCACACAACAGCTTGCCTTTCACCAGTCTGCCTGGATGCCCTAGTTTGAAGGGATGGTTTTCAGTGTCTGGAGCCATGATGTCTGGAAATGCTGACTCCTCTGCTTTCTCTGTCTCCTCAGGAGAAAGAGTCCGTCTTGGGTAATTTGGCCAAAAAAGCTAAACTGACAGAAGACATGTTTAACCAAGTCCCAGGAATTCACTGCAACCCTTTGATGGGGGCCATGTACGCCTTTCCTCGAATCTTCATCCCTGCGAAAGCCATGGAGGCAGCTCAGGTCAGAGGAGCCAGGTTGGGCTTGCTCTCTCAGCAAGTTCACTTGGAACTCTTTCTTGCCTCGAGGAGCACAAGTGCTGGCCCCTGAGGCTCTGAACTTGGTGTATCCATTGGTCCGATGGTACTTAACGTGTAAAGATGACAGGCTCCTGGAGACCCAGCCCTGCAGCAGGTGTGGTGATGGGGTGGGCGTGAGGTCAGACCCAGGTGTGATGTGATGCATTTAAAACTGAACAGAGCTGTAAAGTGATTAGCCTCCAACTAATAAAAATAAATGGAAAAAAAATAAATAAATAAAACTGAACAGACACTGGAGAAGCATCAAGAGCTGTCTCCTCCACCTGACCACCATACCCTACAGTAGTGCTTCTCAAACTTGAATGTGAACATGGATCACCTGAGACCCTGTTAAACATGTCAGTTCTGGCTCTGGAAGTCTATGGAGGGGCCCAGGGTTCTGCATTTCCATAAGTTCTCAGGTGGTGCCACTGACCGTGGTTTGAAGATCAAGGGCCAGAGCCATATCTCTGAAAGTGTGCTCACACCCCCTTACCTACCTTGTTAGACATTCAAAATCTGGCCCCATCCCTCAGCCTGTTGAATCAGAATCCCTGATTCTGAGAATCTATTTAAGAGGTAGCCTGGTTGTGCAAACCGAAGTGTGAGAAGCACCATCGGCAGGGGCCCTGGGAGGCTTGTTCCATAAGGCTCCCCTGGGCACAGACCTCAGGGCCCTGGCTTGGTGTGTAGGAGGCCAAGGCCAATGCTTGGGGAGCTACTTTGTGGGGGCGCGGCACATAGGACTCGGGCTGGCTAGGGGACAGCAGAAGCCCCACCGCCGTCCCAAAGCGGCCTTTGGGTTCTTTGCTCCCGGCCCCAGCTGCCTGCGCACCCAGTGTCTTGCCTTGTTTCTCGCAGGAAGAGAGGGCGGAGGGGCCCTGCCACGGGAAAGAACCCGCCGTGGCAAGCATATTGGGCTCTGAGATTGTAGTGGTGTGTCTGTGCAGTGTGAAATCGGGAATGACTCCTAAGTTCTGCCCCGTGTCCGCAGGCCCATAAGATGGCCCCCGACATGTTCTACTGCATGAAGCTCCTGGAGGAGACGGGCATCTGTGTCGTACCTGGCAGCGGCTTCGGGCAGAGGGAAGGCACCTACCACTTCAGGTACCATTTCCTCTGCACCAGGGGGCGGGTCCAGGTTTGTCTTGGGAAACTCGGGCTTCTTAACAGCAAGGCAACTTCGGAGACTGAGACGTGTGAAGCCCCTGTGCCCTCGTCCCACGCCCATTCCGTCCTGCCACAGAGATGGCTGAGACCCTGCACAGGGACTCAGGAAGACTGGGTGGACTCCGAGGTCGTCTGCTTGACCCCTGGCTCCCCCTCCACTGCCTCCATCTATCACATGCTGTCAGCAGTGTTCCCAGCGCTGTGTTTACTTTTCTTCCCTTGTCCCTTTTCAACTCCATGATGTATCAGTCTGCATCCAGGAGCTCAGTAGCTTGTCCACTGAGCCAAAAACCTGCTGAGATGTTGCCTCTGAGATACGGTGGAATTGCTGTGCCACCTTTCACAGGCATGGGACTCTACCAGATCATCTGAACAGCTCAGCCAGGGCTTCCCACCAAGGCCAGTTCTGTTCTGAAAAGCCTCTCCAATGTTTCCTGCAGCAGATGTCCAAAAAAAGAAATGTCTTGGGCTTAGCACCTGGGGCCAAGTTTTGAGCCAGTGAAGGTCATGGGCAGTGCCCCTCAGTGGACAAATGTGCATGGATAGCCTTTCCACCCTAGTTGGGCTTCTTGGCAATTTGTGGCTCACTGAGATATGCCCTTAGGGATGGAAAGCTGGTTGCCAGGACTGGAGAGAGAAGTTAGTTACCATGACAACATGGAAATTCCTATGGAGGGAAGTTGTGACTGGAAGTTCTCCCTATGAGACTGATAGTGGAGATGGAAAAGGCTTGACTAGCAGGACTAAGGGCAGCCCCAGAGAAAAGTTCTGGGCACCTGTCAGAGTGTTGGGTGGGCCTTCTGTGATTATTGGTGGATGGGTTAAGTAAGCTGAAATGCCGCCACCAGCTTACTGCATATGTTCACATGTATGAGTTGGCTAAAAGAATATGTGAATGATGAGGGAACGTGGTTCAACAAGTACCAGGTGCTGTCCAGGGCCTGTCCCTCCCCAGGAAGCTTGCCTGCATGGTGTGGCTTCCACGGCTGCAGGTAGAGGAGTGACCTGCCAGATTCACCTCTCTCCCCTTCTCCAGAGCAATTCGTGTCCAACTGTGCTGTTCTCCTTCCTGACAGAATGACCATTCTTCCTCCGGTGGAGAAACTAAAGACGGTTCTACAGAAGGTGAAGGACTTTCACATAAAGTTCCTGGAGAAGTACGCATGAGGACTCCTCGGGCCCCAGAGGGAGACTGGGCCCTCGGCCTGCTTCCTGATATGCCCGCCCAGCCCAGACTCGCCTCCCCCAGCGACTCCGCCTCAGGCCTTACGAAGGTCACTGGTCGCTTTCATCGTCATTTTGCCCCAGGAGACTTCTTTCTTTGTGCCTTGATGTTGGGAGCACCTCTCTTCTGAGCAAATGTGAATTGGGGATGCCTCAGAAGCCCTGTTTTTTTGATGCAGCCAAAGTAGAGGGCACTTGCTCAGCGTATATGTGGTAGTGTTCTCCGACTCTGTTGTTGTTGCTTGTGGAAAATTCATTTGGGGTTTAAAACAGCCTGGGTGTGTTGGGTGAGCTGCTTCAGGTTTGCAGAAACAAGGCATCAGGAAATGGATAACTTAACCGCGATGAGGACTGGAAATCCCAAACTCACCGCCATGATCTGTGAAATAAAACCCTTAGCGGTGTGAACATCTATTCCTTCAAACAGGAGAGCCTGGAGTCCACTGGAGGCCCAGAGAGGGCCCATCCTTCTGACCTGGAGGCAGGCATCCTGCTCGTATACTAAGATGGTGAGGCTAGCAGCACAAGGATGCAGGCTAGGTGGTGGTGGGTGTGGGGACTGTGGTCAAGGCCAGAAGGTCCTGCAGGGGAGGGGTGGGTGTGAGCCAGGCTCCAAGTTGAACCAGGCCTCCGTCTGGGAGCACACAGCAGGTAGTGAGGACTCTGCCCCCAGGAGGGCTGCAGGTGAAGGGTTCTCTTGAGCTTTCTTAGCCTGGGACACCCATCTTGAGGTCTCCCTGAGCTCCAGGGGCACAGGGTTCATCAGCCCAGCAATATCTCAGTTGTGGAGGATTCTGCCTGATGGTGTGTGGATCTATCCCACTGTTACCCAACAGCCAGCCTCATCCAAGGGGCTTCAGGGAGCTTTTAGGCAATAGTAGAACAAGGAAACTGAAAATGTCCTAGTGAAGGAGGGTATCCTTAGGGACATGAAGACCACATGCCCCTCCTGCAGTGTTTGTTGTTTGGACCAAGCAGAATTTGGTCCATATCCTAGCTCTTAATTGGTCCAAGTGCCTGGTAGCTTGGCTGCTCTGTACATGTGATCCGATTCAAAGTTTATCAAAGTGTTCGATGAGTAAAGTGTTTTGCCTCCATGTCTGCTGCTGGCTCCCCTCCCAGGCTCTGTAGACTGTCCCATGGCATCAGTCATCTTTTGGGGGTAGGGGTGGGGGATCATCCCCCAAGCCTGCAACTTCCCTGCCATGAGCAAACCTTGGTGGAGCACCTGACCCACACTCCCCGGAAGTAGGCACTACCGGCCGGAAGTAGGCACTACAGGCGGAAGTAGGCACTACAGGCCGCAGCAGGCTTATGGCCTCTTCTTCTCTGGGCCATCCTTGGTGGGCTTCCCTGAGAAGCCAAGGCCCCCTCCGAAGTCAGGGGATCCAGCAAGTCCTAAAGTGGAATTGAAGGGACTGAAGAGAGAAATCTGAAGAGGCTAAAGGAGTGAACTTTGAAAGCAGCCTTGTCCTGTAATCCCCACGCCAGGTCCATGCACGGGATGCAATAGGAAACTTCAGACTGCCCCGTCCACTAGCATCACAGTCCCTATGAAGAAAGTAGCCACAATCTCAAATAACAAAGGGAATGTTTTAGAACTTTTTCTTCCTTAAAACTTCGAGAAAACTGCACTTGTGCTTGCTGATGGTATATAAGCCAGGATGTGTCCCAGAGTTGTGAGATTTCTGGTGGAAAGGTTAAATAGTAGAAGCTAGTATATTTTCTATATTTTTGTAACAATTGCTTTTTTCATGGGGGGAGTTGGGGTTAGTATTTGTAGTTTTAACAAGTCCAGTAGTTTTTTTAAATAAATCTCTTCAGATTATAAGTAACCCCTAAAAACTTTGCAACGTTTACATGATTTTTTAAAAAAGATGCCGTATACATTTGGTTTGCTTTTAAAAATAAGTAAATACTTAATAAGGTCAGCTAGCTGGTTTAGGAGGTTAACTTGATTCAGGTAGAAACTCTGATCATGATAGATTTGATTTTCTGCAGATTGTGGTGTCTTGTTTGGGCACCACCAGAGTAAGTTGTTTGTCATTTGAGGTTGCACTTTAAATCTCTGCCTGTGAAGTTTTCTGCTGTTCGTCTAGGTCTGCACGGGAGTTGGGGGGATGCTGGGCTATTCTGTGGTGGCCCATCACCTCGCACCTTGTGGCCAGACTGGTTGTCCCCGTGTTTGAATTTGCAGGAAGAGCTGACAGGCCTACATGTCCGTTTTCCAGTCTGGATTCTCATAGGCGTCTCCTGACACAGGTACTTCATGATAGCTCTGGTGGAAATTTCTAAACAATAAAATATATGTCCAAAACGGTGACTGTGTTTAACTTTCTTTGTATTTTAAATATCAAATGGACATCACTAATTGTACACCTTCATCCTTCTGTTCCTAAGTCACAGCTTTTCAGTTTCTGTTTCTTCTTAGGTGTCAACCCTAAGGACCCTGGGCTGCTTTCTATTGCTTATGTATTCTTTTAAAATAGAATGCTGTTCAAATGGAAACAGACCTTTGATTTTCTCATGGGAGTGAAATGAACTAGCAGCTTCTTCGCAGGGTGCAGGGGACCCCAGGCAGGCAGGGGGAGCTGGAGAAGCAACCCTGAGGCCAGAGGGAAGGGGCAGCTGCCCAGACAAGGGGTTTCATTCATTGCCCCGGGCTTTCCCAGGCCCACGTCAGTTTTAATATGTGGTTCTGGAATTCAAAACTTTATTTTTCACTTAAAACTGAAACTTCTTTTTTAAAGGAAGTCTGGAAATATATATATATGTTTTGAAAAGTAAGATTCTTTCGAGTGGAAGGCTTGGAAACTTACTGAAAGTAGCTTAAGTAGAAGAGAATTTATTATGTCATGTAAAAGGAATTTATTGAAATCCTGGAGGGATGCTGACTGTAGTTTTGATGTACACTGTTCAGTGCAAAACCTGCCTGCCTGTCCAGCTATATTGAAAAATCTTATAGAAGGGCTCTGCCTTGGGCCACATGCTCTTCCCTAACAGTAGCTGTGGACTTTGAGAATAAAGTGTTTTGTCTGGGCCTGTGTATGAGCAGAGGTAAAGAAGGGCCTAGAATTGCCAGCCCCATCAGGGCCTTTGGAGGAGAAGCTGCTCTCCATAGGAATGAGGGATGGAGGTGATGCTGCACCCACAAACCTCTTTTACCACAGGTGGCTCTTTAGAGGGAAGCTGGGGGAGGTGTGTTCAAGGCAGGTTGAAAGTCATTACTGGTTGATAATACAGGGGACTGAGATGCTCTGCATACGCACACTCTGCACATACCCCAGGAAGTGTACATCTTGTCTGGTGAGCAAACTTTGTGTAGTGTATTATGCAAAGAGTTTATTAAATAGACAAAGATTGGGAGATACAGTTATTCTAGATCAGTAGTTCCCTTGTCACTAGGGACTGATTTTGTGAAAGACACTTTTTCCACGGATATGTGGTAGGGGAGGGAAAGTTCAAGCGGTAATGCAAGAGATGGTGGGGATGGATGGTTCAGGTGATAATGCAAGCTGTGGGGAGTGGCAGATGAAACTTCCATCCCTTGCCCACCACTCACCTGCTGTGTGACCAAATTCCTAACAGGTTGCGGGGCTGGGGACCCCTGCTCTAGATTATTTTTGGTATAGTGTTTGCTCTAATCACATCTAGAAAGCTTTTGAATGTTTGATAAGGACCTGGCATAAGCCCAGAGACTGCTAGGGAATGGGGAATCAGAAGCTAATAAGATGGTCACTGTCCTAGAGGCTGATGGCTGCTAGATGATAGGTGTTTGAGAAGATGGCGGAGGAATAGGACGGGGAGACCACTTTCTCCCCTACAAATTCATCGAAAGGACATTTGAACGCTGAGCAAACTTCACAAAACAACTTCTGACCGCTAGCAGAAGACATCAGGCGCCCAGAAAAGCAGACCATCGTCTTCGAAATAAAAGATAAAAAGAGAGACAAAAGAGCTAGGGACGGAGACCGGTTCCAGGAAGGGAGTCGTAACAGAGGAAGTTTCCAAACGCCAGGAAACCCTCTCACTGGCGGGTCTGGGGGAAGTTTTCGAATCTCGGAAGGCAACCTAACTGGGAGGAAAAATAAATAAAACCCACAGATTACATGCCTAAAAGTAATTCCCAGAAGAGAAGTACCCCAGACGCCTGCATCCGCCACCAGCATGTGGGGACGGGACGGAGAGGAGCGGGCAGCATTGCTTAGGGTAAGGACTGGGCCTGAATGCCCTGAGGGCAATCGGAGGGAGCTAACGTGAGAGAGCAACTTAAACTGTGGGATAGCAAGAGAGAGAAAATTAACCAGCCCAAACACACTGCAGGCCCGTTCGCAGAACAAAGGAAGAACTGAGTGATCCCAGAGAAGAGCTAGCCAGCTGCGAACCGGCCCACCCCTCGCCGGAGGCAGGAGGCAGCGCAGAGGGGAAAGGGGCAAACTCGGCCCCAGAGACGGCACCCCTACCAAACTGCAAACAGGCTCCCAGTTTCTAACCAAAGACTTCCTGAGATTCTGGATGGTTGACATCCGCCGGGAGGGAGAGTCGCGGCTAAAGACCAGCTCCACAGAACAGACACAAGGGGCACCCAATGGCACTCGCGGAAACTGAGGCTGGGCCCACGGAGGGGAGAAGGCGCACCGCACCCGGGAGAGCGCGCCCGTCAAGCTCCTGGCTGCCTGAGCTGCTCCTGCCGGGGAAGGCGCAAAACGCAGGCCCAACCGAGTCCGCGCTTTTGTGGAGAACCCAAAAACTGGAACCGCACGCAACGCAGGGCCCGCTCCATATAGAGCAGCCAGGAGCCTGAGCAGTGTAGACGGGAAGAGCACACAAGTGTGAGCGGGGGCAAACCCAGTGCGTCCGGAACACTGCGAGTCCTGCCCACACGCACCAGTGATGATTGTCTGCAGGGCCCCTCCCTCCCCGAAGCACAACTGAACACGCAA